TCAAGAAAGCTATCCATTGACACAAAAATTCTACCCCCCACCTACCATCCGCTGGGGGTGAAAGGGTAGGTATCTTTAAATTTTTAAATGAGAAAACCCCCATGTTTTATTGCAGATTTCGCTTCTGCAGAAAAAGTCGTATTAACCCTTTAACGCCGAGAGGTGCTGAATTTCGACATGGATTTCAACTTCCAACAATTAGCAGAAAAGAACGTAGACAAGTATCGGAAGGTCCATTTGTATGTAATAAGGTATCAGAAACGTGTTCCCAATAGTTCGAAAACGTGTACTGTATACAATTTTCATTTTTCGATTTTGAGTTCACAATGGCGCCTATAAGCTCAAAATTTTTCGAAATTTTACGTACGACGAGTGAATTTGCAAAAAATATGCCCGAATTCGATTGAAACTTGTTACCCGGAGGTTTTTGGGATCGAGTGTCGATAATGCCGACTATGTATAAAGTATATACGGCGTCATTGTCGGAAAGGTTAAGAGAGGAGGTGGAAGGGAAGGGGTTGATTCCGCCGAATCAAACGGGCTTCAGAAAGGGGATGGGGACATTGGATAATGTTTTTGTGTTAAATTATTTAATAAACAGACAGGTAAGGAAAAAAGAGGGAAAATTGGTGGCCTTATTTGTGGACTTGAATGCGGCGTTTGATTTGGTGGATAGGGGAGTATTAGTGGAAACGTTAAGGCTGAGGTGGGTAAGGGAAGAGCTGGTGAAAAGGGTGGATGAAATATTGAGAGAAACGAAGAGTAGGGTGTGAGTGGGAGGAGGGAAGTAGGGGAAAGTTTTTGGACGGCGAGGGGGGTAAGACAGGGGTATCCGCTGAGTCCCCTGCTGTTTAATTTAGTGATGGCGGACCTAGAAGAAGAGATGGGAAGGGTTATTAAATAGGGGGGGAGTGAAGTTAGGAGATGCGAAGGTACATAGTTTAGCGTATGAGGATGATGTGGTGGTGCTGGCGGAGGATGAGGGGAGTATGAGGAATATGTTGGAAAGGTTGGAAGGGTATATAGAAAGAAAAAGTTTGGAATTGAATAGGGTAAAAACTAAAATAATGAGATTTAGGAAGGGAGGAGACAGGAGTAGTAAGATGGACTAGAGATGGAAGGAAAAGAGGAAAGAGGAAAGATCGAAGAGGTAAAGAAATTCATATATTTAGGATATACGTTACAGAGGAATGAGAAACAGGAGGAGCATGTAAAGGAAAGGGTGGCGAAAGCGGCGGCAGTGATGGGACATGTATGGGGGATCGGGAAAAGGAGATTTGGTAAGGATTGGAAGAAGAGGGTATGGTTTGATATGTTAATATGGGCAATGGTTAGTTAAGGGGTGGAAATATGGGGATGGAAAGAGAGAGAGGGGGTGGAGAGATTACAGGATAGGTATTTAAGGTGAGTGTTAGGGGTGGAGGAAAGAACAACAGGTTATATGATAAGAGAAAAAATACAAAGGGAAAAGTTAAGAGGTAGGGCGGGAAAAAGAGCGTGGGCATTTGAGGAGAGATTGAAGGGGGGGGAGGGTTGTTGGCGCGGTTATATTTGGATGAGATGGGGGGAATATAAGGAAGGGGAAAAGGTTAGAAGGATGGGAGGGAAAAAGGGGGCAATATTTCAGGGATAGGGGGGTAGAGTTAGGAAGATGGCAAGGGGGAGAATTAGAGGAAGAGATCAAGTTTGAAGAGTTGCAGGAAAAGGACAAGGAAAAACAGAAAGATGGGAAAAAATAAGGGTAGCGAGATATAATAGATAGTACGGATGGGTAAAGGGGGAAGGGATACCGGCATATTTAGAAAAGAGATGGGGGAGAGGAGATGGAGGAGGGTGGCGAGATTCAGATTGGAGAATGAGATGAGGGAAGGGAGATATTGGGAAGGAAAAGAGGGGAAGAAATATAGGTTATGTGGGAATGGAGTGGAATCGTGGGAGCATGTGTAGGAGGAATGTAGGAGTTGGAGGGTGGGGTTGGAAGGGGGATGGCAGGAGATGGTGGATAGGATATTGGGGGATGAAGCGAAAGGGGAGGCTCGGATGAGGGAGGTGGAAGAGGAAAGAAGGAAAGTGGAGGAGAGGGTGGAAATGAGAGTGAATGTGGGGGTGAATGTGGGGAAGAAGAGAGAGAGGGAGAGAGAGGTAGAAAGTGTAAGGGGAATGAGAGTGAAGCTCTGCGGTGATGGGAGGAGAAGGGTAATGGAAATGAGGAAGGTGGAGACCACGAAATGGTGGATGGTACAGCAAAAACGGGGGTCCAAGATAGGGAGGGAGGGGGGGAGAGAGAGAGAGAGAGAGAGAGAGAGAGAGAGAGAGAGAGAGAGAGAGAAACGTTAGATAGTTTGTAAGTTAGTATAAGTTTTTTGTAATGTAGATTAAGGTAATTTTAAGTTGCGTAAATGTAAATAGAAATGTAACCCTAAGGGGAAGCAATAAATATATATTTATCTATTTATCTAATATATAATATTACACAGTAAAAATTATAATATAATAATATATAATATTTCCATTAAGGACGTCTACAGTTAGCCTATAAAACTTATAGTTCCGGGAGTTAACCACGAGGAGGTTGCAGTACGTTTTTAAACTTCATATTTTCCGGGTACTTTTTTAACGTGAATCCCTTCGCCTCTCACGTTATGTATTTACCATCGGGGTGCTTTTTTAACGTGAGTCCCTCACCTCTCACATTAACAGAAGCGAATTAATTAATTCTTAATCATCGTCACTATCACTTTCAATGGTTGGAATGGAATTATCTTTCTTAAATATATCGCTGAGTATTTCTGATTGAGGCTGAAGAAAAACGATGGTTTCACCGAAAATTCCTTTTCAAAAATATTATAAGTAATGATCTTTTGGATTTTCCGGAAATGATAGAAACAGACATGAAGATTTTCTTTACCGGTTCGTATCAACTCTCTTAAGCCGTGTCGTATTTGGTAGAGATGATAGATAAAAATGGTAAATTAAATATAGAATATGTCAAGGATGAGAAAAATGTTCTTAAACTAAAAGTTCCATCCCGACATATTTCTCGTGCAACATATAGATGTTTCTTGAGATACAAACCAAATAGTATCGATGTTTCCGTGACTCATTATGCATGTGAGTGTGCTAATGGCAGACGAACAATTGGTTGTTGCCCTCATATTGCCGCAATAATATATTATTTATCTTATGCAAGATATTTACCAAAAATTTTTTAACCGGCAGAAATACTCAGCGATATATTTAAGAAAGATAATTCCATTCCAGTCATTGAAAATGATAATGACGATGATTAAGAATTAATTAATTCTCTTCTATTAATGTAAGAGGTTTGTTAATGTGAGAGGCGAGGGGACTCACGTTAAAAAACATTCCAATGATAAATACATAACGCGAGAGGCAAGGGGAATCACGGTAAAAAAGCACCCGATGATAAATACAAAATGTGAGAAACGAGGGGACTCACGTTAAAAAAGCACCCTGAAAATATGGAGTTTAAAAACGTACTGCAACTTCCTCGTGGTAAGTTCCGGGAACTATAAGTTTTATAAGCTAACTGCAGACGTCCTTAAGGGTATATTCTGGTATAACTTCACTAAATATAAGGCCTTTTTTTGGAATTTTTTTAAAGAAAACTAGAAGACACACGATTCTAATTTTTGATATACTTATTAATACACATGTCAATATATGAAAAAAATTTTACAGTAATATTTTCGTTCCAAAATTCCAAGAAATTAGTTGAGAGGTGCAGCATTGAAAAAATGAAATGATCAAACGGTTGACACGATATCTCGAGAACCAATAGCCTAAAATAAAAAAACAAAATTTTTTCTTAAAGTTTATTTGTGTGGCTATCGCGTAAAGCAGAATTATTGATAAATATTGATAATTTGCGAGTTGATACGTGTTTTTAGAAAGTGATGTAAAAAAACGCTTTTTTTCGTTCAAAAAAGTTGGACAAAAATTTAATTTTTAATGAAACCGATTTATTCCGCTATACGCGATAGCTAGTTAATCTACGAATACAACGCCGCAAGAATTTTTTAAATCGGTCGATTAGTTTTTCCGAAACCGTGTCAACCACTCAAAAAAACGTTTCGAAAAAAAACGCGTTTAAAGTTTTTTTTAAATAAAATGATAATTGAACTATTTACCGTTAATCAGCGATTCCTGGTCCATAAAGTAAGCTTTCAACTTTCTGAAACATTTAGCTGTAAAAAAAAAGAACTTTTGGCTGTAGTATTGTTAATTCTTTGAATTTCTTTCTGAAATTTTGACAGTGTATTCTTGAAATGTTGTATAATACAATCAAAATATGCAATAAAAAATCGATTTTTTGAAAATTTTACATCAGACTGTACCTTTAATGGAAATATGTAACATTATATATTATTATATTATAATGTTCATTGAATAAATGTGTAGGCAATAATAAAATCTTTGTCTCTATCAATTTACTTGGCAATTAAACATTGCAACACTGCAACAAGATTAGTATAAAACACTAAGTATAAGCATATTCAGGCCTATGACGGTCAAAGCTAGATCTTTTTTGCCTAAATAATTCCTAATGAATTATCTATATCCTATATATGTACATGCATATATATCATATTTGTGTAGTTATTCAAACTGAGCGCTGAAATTTTTCCGGACTTTATCTAACGCAATTAAACTACTGCAATAATATCACAAGTTAAATTAAATTGACAATGTGCTGAAAACCTTAAATAAATTTATTGCGAAAAATATTACCTTGGCCGGGACTTGAATCCGGATCTCTTGTATTCCGTACGAGCGTACTAAGCTTAGACCACCGAGGCCTTACAAGATTAGTATCTAATACCATAGCCGCCATGCAGCGCGCCGGGGCTGCGGTCGCCCAGTCGGGCGTTGCGCGAATGACTGTTTTTTTTTAACCATATTCCACCACTCCGATCAATTTAAAAGAAATATATGTTAAAGTAGAGAGTCTACAGATTATTTTTCTGAAGTATAAAAGTGGTCACTCAAAAATATCACCAAAAAAATTCATAAAGATTCAAAAAATTTTTTAATGGTTTTGCTTTCATAGTAAAAATTTCAAAAAAAATTTTTTAACTTATCTAAACGATGTTTACAATATATATTTTTTTCATTAAAATCGGTACAGTCGTTTCCGAAGAAAACCACTTTTTTGATTTCGCTTTCACCCTCCATAACTCCCCAAAAAATGCAATTTCGAGGCTAATATTTGGAGAAGTTTTACATCTCAGGAGTGCCAACTAATTTGAGCTCGATTGATGTGGGGGCAGATTTTACATGCTTATTTCGCTATGCCCTTTATTAAGAGTTTTGTGATCTGTTTACAGATTATTGAAATAAATTTAAAGTATTTTTCAAAAATAGTAATTATATTGCCAACTATTTTAATTAATTAATCACATTATAATATATAAGTACATATACATAATCATTATTAAAAAATCACACCTGTAGTTTCCACACAATATCATTATTAACAAACAAAAGTTTTTGCTATTAAATCTATAGAACAAGTCACTCATATACAAAAGTTTTTCGAAATTAAAGTAAAATAAGTCACAATAACATCAAAATGACTTTAAACTGAATTGTATTTGATAAAAAAAAAATGACTAGTAAATATTTTGGAGCTATTTCATATGACAAATTGCAGAATCCTTTCAGAATTGTTGCACATGAGATATGAAAAGTTGAAACATTTCTGAAAATTTTCCGCAATAATCGGTGCTATATAGTTATGACTCAGGAGTTTTAAAATATTATATGAACTATTTCTAATAAAGTTGTCAATTTCCGAGGATTACCCGGATATCTTGGATATTAATTGGATATCCGAATTGTGTTGTGCATTACCGGATATTTAAAATATTATCCGAATGTCTGGATAAACGATTTTCTCGGATATTATCTGGATACCCAAGTAATATCCATGAAGCTGTTTAACGAATGTACAAATATCCAAATGATAATATAGAGATAACAAGGATTAAACTGAGTCTTAATTTTTAATTTACCCTTAAATATTATACATTCGATAATAAAATTAATGCATCACCTATTCTACTCCTAGAGACGATAGATAAATTTCAAGACAATGTAACGTAAAAAGTCATAGTGAGATTTAAAATAATTTGAAGTTTGAAATCTCTACATTTCAAATTGATAATTTAGATAATGATCTGATTAATTTTTTCGAATTTTTAGTACATATTATGAACAATATTTCCGTGTCATTCATTATGATCATTTTTTACGAAGATATAGTTTCTTAAAATTTGTTTGTTTTAGGGATAAAATAGGTGATACCTTAATTTTGCTGTTGAGTGTATTGATCTTCAATCATATTACAAAATTATTGTATTCATTTTTCGAAAAAACTTTTTTTCCAATTTACCTTGCTACAAAGCACCACTAAAAATTGGACAGTATCGAGTTGTGTAACTGCTAAGTTAAACGTCAAAGTCTCATTAAATTCTGGTTGTGCAATCGTGCGCAAGTATTTGGTCTTCTTCTTCTTCATTTTTTTACCCGTCTTTCCGTTTAACATTAACACTTTAACGTATGGATCTGTAATAGACATGATTGTTTAAAAACATTTTTGTTGAGCAAATCAAATTGATTGTAAATTTAAAGCTCTAAATATAAAGCCGGCGGCACACGATGCTTTTTTTCCTGCTAGATTGCGTATTTGTTACCGTATTGATTGCGATACTGGTACCGCAGTAACAAGTACGCAAATCCAGCTAGCAATCTAGCAGAAAAAAAGAATCGTGTATCGTCAGCTTTAGAGACAATAAAAATAGCACATTCTTTTTCTATGTATAAATGCTGACAAATACGTTTTCTTAGTTCTCTTCTTTTTTCAACTACTATTTTCGACCTGTATTTCTAATAGTTAAGAGAAGGTACACGGAATAAAAATTTCATCACAATTTTTTATTTTTTGAACGATTTAAAAAAATGATTGTTTTGTTTACAATCTTCTTTATGTTAAAAAAACGCACAGCTCTCTCAGAATTGGAGTTATTTATGAGTTTTCAAACCACGCAAGAAAAAGATTTTGAACTCGTCCTAGTCAGCAGGAATTTTGATTTAAAGAGGTCTCTTGCTTTATAGGATCAAAAAAATCTATTTTTTTTTTCATAAATCGATAGTACAACTTTTCGAAAATATATCCCTAAAATTTTAGAGCGAAATTCGAAGTTCTTCGGTATAAATTCAGCGCTGTATATACGGACACGCACAGGTATAATAAATAATTAAAAAATTCTTTTATTATAGTTTTAAAGTACTCTTGAAGCATTCAATTTTCATGGAAAATATTTTCTATCTCTTATAGTTTCAATGATACTTCGAAAGATAACATATTCGAAGTTTATTAAAATGTGAGGGTCAGTTCCGACGGTTCTTTTGTTAGTAGCATGAGAGAAGCAGGAATATCTCATACAATGGCTCAAATTGCCCAAAATGAGTTTCATGAGGAAGCTGAAGGATTATTGTATGCCCCTAGAATAGCAGATTAGCCTCCGAATACTAAGTACTCAAGAACTGAACCGAAAACTTTGAACACGTTTTTCTCGAAATCTGTTTTTTAGATTTTCTTCAATTTTGTGTACACGATTCAGAAAAAAGTATTTGACCAATCGACTTTTTATAGGCTTGTTAGTTAGCTAATAGTCAACCATCCTCGATGAACCTAAAAAATTAAATAAAAGTCAACATTAACAATTTTTTTTAGAGGACGGAACCAAGGTCGAAAGCGGAGGCTACTGGAAGACTGCCACTGAAATGCGAGTCTCCCGCATAGCATAGATCCGGGAAAGTCTCATCAGCGGCCGAAGGAAATCCTGCTGCCAAATCGAATTCCGCACGCCAGGACGCAGAAGACGTAGATGACACGGCTCACGCTATTCGCAGAGCCCCCAGGACCGCGCGCCAATTAGACGCAATAAGGCCCCCTCGTGGAGATCATGATCACTGCGTGCCCCCGGAAGGCAGTGTTGTTAGACGGGCCGGATTTCAGACGCATGCGCGTCCAATGTAGCTTCAGTAATGTACCAGTCACTAGTAAATAGGAGATCATTAATCGCCTATGTAAAATTTTTTCGAAGATATTGAAAATTTTAATATATTTTACATATTTTACATATGTAAACATATATAGAAATATATTTATATACGCGTACACAAAATGTGACAGATTTCCTAACCTACATAGTTGTCAACTTTAACGCTTAATATCTCGGTTCGCGAGGCAGAGCGACACTTTTTTCGACCAGATTCTTTCGTTTCATGCAAAAACGCATCGATTGAGTATATTTTTATCAAAATTTGAAGTGGAGGAGGTCTTTTTAACATTTACCCAAAAACAGATGCACCAACGTAAATAGTGTCAGTTGGCGCGCGGCGCGCGTCTGGCGCATATACGCCGTGCGCCGCGCGACACCATTTATACTGGTTGCCGTACGCAAAAATTGTATTTGCCAAATTTTCAAAATGTCCCTACAGATAGGGAAAATTTCCTACGACTGGCAACACTATTAGAAGCACTAGTGCGCACCGATGCATATTAAAGCCGTTGTACACTGATTTAATTTGAGTATAAGAATGAAATGCAAATATTTCGCAATTATGAAATACATATTTTATCTAATAGTACAATAAAATGTATTGAGTATTTCACGATTTAATCGATTTTTATGTTTATAAACATATCTTTACGTTATTTTGTGTACTGCGACTTTAATGTGCATCAGTGCGCACTGAGTGCGTCCAATCGAATTCGTTATTAGTTTTATCTTTGTCCATTATTATTACAAAATGCTTGGTCACGACTTTATTTAATCAACAATGCCTTTATAACCTTTATTCGTAATTCACGATATTAGAATATTTGCATATACTATATATTATGACATGCTGCCTTCAGTATGTTACTAAAATCCCTAAAATATTATTTCCTTCGGGAAGAAAGATTTGAGATCTGTTTATGAAACAAAGAGACCTTGGAAAATCGAGGAATCCTTCATGAGCTGGTATTCACAGTTGGTTTTATTTTAAAACACTCTTAAGTAACGTCTTAAGATGCTAATACGGCCCTCTGACCGGTATTCATAGTCTGATCTTATATTTAAGACAGTGTATTTATATTTTGACCGTATATTTGAAAAACTCAATTAATACTATAATGTAACTGCCTATTCCGGCCCGAGCTGGATCTTTGTTGCTTTAAATAATTCAATCTTGAATTACTAATATATCCTATATATGTACTTGCATATATACCATATTGTAGTCTTTTTCAAACTGCGCGCCGAATTGTTTTTCCGGACTAAATAAACGCAATTAAAACTACTCTAGTAATCGCGAATTAAATTGACAAGCAATTTTTAATAATTTGATGCTACCATCAAGCATCATATATTATAAAGATGTTAATCTATAAAAACTGTTAATAAATTTATTGCGAAAAATATTACCTCGGCCGGGACTTGAACCCGGATCTCTTGTAAACCGTACGAGCGTCCTGAGCCATTAGACTACCGAGGCCTTTAAGACAGTCTTAAGTACAGTCTTAAGATGTCATGAACCAATCAGAAGGCCGCGTTAGCGACTTAAGACATTACTTAAGACGGTCTTAAAATAAGAACCGACTATGAATACCGGCCTATGAATACGGGTATAAGGGGATGCTGGAATGAGGGTGCATTCTGTTTCACGCATGATGTGCATAATGCATCATTTATCCTTATTTTAACATTTGATGAATAACAAGGATAAATGATGCATTATGGCCGGTATTTATAGTCAGTTCTTATATTTGTTACGTCCGATGGACTCCACGATTTCTTCGTTTCGCGACCGTTCAATCAACGAAGTAAGATACGAACAAATCCAAATAATAACACAAATCCGAGAGAAGTTTCCAGCCACAAAATCTTGTTTACCTAGAATCGAGAGATCCGCGATAAAAACTCTGTCGTAGTGCCGACAATCAAACGTTAAATTTCCTTTCGAGCATCGTAGAAAATGAAAGTCAATATCAAATAATCACCAAATAGCGTTGGTACCAAAGCGCTAAGCCAAGTCACGAAATGATTGCCTAAAATCGAAAGATCCACGATAAAAACTCTCTCGTAGCATTGACTATCAAACCTCTCTTTTCGAGCATCGTGGAAAACAAAAATCAACATTAAATAATCATCAAACAGCGTTGGTACCAAGGCTAAGCCAAGCCACGAAATAATCCCCGCGATAATAAGAGTGATAGCGCGGACCGACGCTCGAAAGAAGATGAAATGTTTAACCATCTCATACTGATATCGTACGGGCCCAACGATAATGGTCCCACGCTTAGGCTTAAGATAGGGTTATAAATCTAGTAATGACATTTTCCAACACTGAGAAAAATCAACACGAACCGCAACTCTCGATTAACTAATCTAGAAATATCTATCCATCGTTCAACGTGAGAACGAATAAAAAATGACACTGCGGGCGGAGCTAACCGGAGGGCAATTTTCCATTGACGAACCAAAACCGTATCACCTCAGAATCCTGCAAACCTGATTCCCTAATTTCCCAATTAGACACACCCTACCATGGAACCTCCCCCTAAACTATCCCTATATAAACCGCGATATCGCGGGACACGCAGCAGAAAAAATAGAAAAGTCAGAGAGAGATAGGAAAGTCAGAAAGTCAGTCAGAAAGATAGGAAAGTCAGAAAGTCAGCAAGGCAGAAAGATAGAAAAGGTTTTTTCTTACTCAGTGCGTACATTTTCAAATATATTAAAACATTAAAATCAGTG